TGAAGACTGTAGAGTCATCTAGCCGCACTTCTTTCCATGCGAGGTTTCGGACCTCCAGTCCCAATGGCCTGCTGTTCCTGGCTGCTGGACAGACGGACTACTGCCTGGTGGAACTGCACTCCGCTCGCCTGCAGGTACAGAGGACCGAAAAGATCATTCCCTTCATTATAAAAATGGTCATTTCAGCCATTTCATATAATAATAATAATTGCTTACACTTATATAGCGCTTTTCTGGACACTCCACTCAAAGCGCTTTACAGGTAATGGGGTCTCCCCTCCATCACCACCAATGTGGAGCATTCACCTGGATGATTCGACAGCTTTTTTAGTGGGGAGGAGAGCAGAGTAATGAAGCCAATTCATAGATGGGGATTATTAGGAGGCCATGATTGGTAAGGACCAATGGGAACATTAGGCCAGGACACCAGGGTTAGACCCCTACTCGAGAAACGTCCTGGGATTTTTAATGACCACAGGGAGTCAGGACTTCGGTTTTACGTGTCATCCAAAGGTAACGCCAGTTTACAGTATAGTGTCCCCGTCACTATACTGGGGTATTAGGACCCACATGGACCGCAGGGTGAGCTGGCCCCACTAACACCTCTTCCAGCAGCAACCTTAACTTTTTCCCAGGAGAACTCCCATCAAGGTACTGACCAGGCTCACACATACTTGGCTTCAGTGGGTTGCTAGTTGTGAGTTGCAGAGTGATAGGGCTGCTAAATATAGCAGTGTTCTTCCACCTTGGTCCTGGAAACCACCAGTCCATCAGGTTTTCAAAGGTGTCTGTGCTAAAAGTCAAAACATATAAGGTATGATTATAATCTAATCAACCCAAGACAGAAGACATTCAATTAACCCATCTTTAATTGACATTGCTTTTAAAACTGTAATTATTCTGGTGCTCATATTTGTACTGCATGGTATTATTTATGAGGTAACTAGTAATTCTTGTAATCCTAATATTGTTTTTTAATTTAAATTCTTCACTTTTTACTATCTGTTGAATAGGTGGACAGGACAATGAGTGTTTACAGAATCCACAGAATGTACCCTGCTTTGCATCCATTGATTGCGGGGATAGGCTCCTTTGAGACACTATATTGGTTAAATCAGTTAAAAAATGGATGGATGGATTACTCCAGTTGGAAATGTCTTCACTTTTGACTACTCTGTTATATATCTGTTTTTTATATCCTGTTATCCTGATCATCTACTTCTTTTTTGCCCTTTAAAAGTCTTTACTGTCGTTTATTTTCTTTTGCTAGTTTGATATAGCAGTTTTTACCTCTACAGCAATACAACTTTTTAGCTCTCTTTTAATCTTTTTAAAGTCTTTTTTAATGTTCCTTTGTATCTCAGTGTACTCTTTTTTCTTTGTTTAAAAAATCACTAGAGGTAAGAAGCATTTCATAGATTTGTGGAAGAGAGAATGTGACTTTAATTTTTGACTATACAGTAGGTACTCCTTTAAATGAGGAATCTTGGGAAATTTAAACAATAAATGGTTCATTTACTTAACTGAGTGTTTAGGTGTTCTCATTTTAAAATTAATTCATGGCATTATACACAAGAAATAAATTGCATCACAATAGCTTAGATGTGCAGCAAATGTAATTTATTATCATTGCATCTTTAGTATAATGGTATGTATGATTAGAAATCTGATCTTGCACTCAACCCTGTGCAATAGGTTTATCATTACTTCCTCTCAGTGAAGTAATTGTTGTAACTTGTTCAAGCCTTAGTAGCTTGCTCAGGTCCACAGTCCTGTTAGCCAGCACAGTCTTACTCTAGCAAATGCTTTGCCAGATCATTCATACAAATTGGGAAGAGCATTACTCCAATTGCATGGTAGTGCAGTGATCTACAAAGATCTTGCTGTCTCTTCTTCCTCTTTGGAGCCTATGTGCAGAATTTTTTTCTTTTCCAACTGGTCTTATTAGCCTCCTGAACTGCCCTCAGGGGAGTTGCTATTCTAACAGCTTCTTTTCATCATATGAAATTCCATTCATTCTGAGTGCTAAGGACTTGCATCAGGCTAGTTGTGTCTAATTTAATTGCACCTCTCAATTATCATGCAGCCAGCTTGGCTCAAGGCCTGAGTTTTGAGCAATGGCAAATTCCACAGGGCCACCCCTTACTACATAACACTCTTTAAAAAGAAACTAAACAGTTTTCATGTTTAAAGCGTTTGGGATAATGCACTGTTCAATTAGTTGTGTTCTTAGTTGTGTGACAATTTATATACAGTGACTGGAAGTCTTAAAGATCATAAAGTACAGAACATTCTTCTTCTGTAAACAAAATTAAGACAATATTACCCTAGGATATGAACTATTGTCACTTGAATAAGCATTTCATTTGTGAATGTAAGAAAACAACAATTGTGACAACATCAACAATCTGCTTTTCTAATACTAGGGAATAAGATTTTAGTCAAAATTAAAGGTCCTAGGTTTGAATTGTTTGATGTGTGCATAATAATGTAATACATGGTTGTACTAAATACAGATAAAGGTTTATTTCATGCTGATAGGTAATGAAAAGAAACACAACATTTTAGTTGTGGAGCCAAATGGAGCAGATGGGAGTGGAGTGAAAGTAGCAAATAATCACGTATAGTAGAACAAAAGGAAAAGTGGGTAAGAAGGGGCAGGGAGCAGTTTGAAAATGGGCATAAAGCGAATAAAAATGATTGTCCAAACTCAGGGAAAACAGGAGAGGCATGGAAAGCCAAAATCTGCAAATGAATAGCGCAGATTTATTAAGAGATGTGTCTGTCATTGAGAGAAAGGGAAAGGTGTGATACAAGTTTAAGGATAATTTTAATTTTGGATGTCCTTTTTAAATTGGAATTCCAAAACCTCTCTATGCAGAAGCAAACAGCAAGATCAGAAAGATCAAGGCTGTTAGAGGTGAAATGGCGAACTATGTGAATTGCTGGGCACTTTCTGTAAGAGATGCAGTAAATGAGGTTGCTGGAAATAAATGATGACACAGAATTGTCCGGATGTGAAAGTTGTTAATGATGTTCTTGGGAGTAGAAAGGGTGTAAGGGTGGTAGGGAAGCACCAATGAAATGCTGTTATGAGTCCGGCAGTCCCTATTTGAGTTGGTAATCCAAGGGCTTTTTGGCTCGGGTGAGGGTCCTGTCAATAACGTGTGTTGGGTTTCATCCGTCAATGAAAAAACAATGCATTTTGAGGGCTTAGTTATGGAAGTACATGCCTTCTGTAATAGACAGAAGCTGAGAGTCATGGATGGTTAATGGAGAGGTTTGTGTCCAGAAACAGAAGAGCTGTGAAAGATATGTTAACTGTAAATTTAAGGGATGGGTGAAAATTGGTGAAGTGATGCAGGAAATGCTCTAATTGGACATTAGAGCATGTGACAGCATCAACATAGTCAATGTATCGCTTTTAGGGCACAGATGAAACCAGTATAGAAAGCAAAGAAGCATTCTTCTGCCCAGCTGACAAAAATATTTGCATCCCACCCTGGTGCCCATGACAAGTGACTAATGTCCTTAATATATGAAGGAAATCCTGATAAAAACTGATATTTCTCAATTTTATCTCTAATGGTCATGAACTCTCTGATCTCTATATCTGTGTCCTCACAGAAGGGTGTCAGAACTCTTATTGCAGAAAGACATCCAAAACCAAAATAACCTGGAAACGTGGATCACACCCCTTCTCTCAATGACAGACTCATCACCTTCTAATCCTCTCTATGTTTTGCAGGTTTTTGCTTTTCACACCTCTCCACCTGTTCTCCCTGACTTTGGAACTCATTCTCACTTGCTTTATGCCCATTTCTCCACTGCTCCCTGCCCCCTTCTTACACACTCTGTCTTTTGTTCTCCTATGGAATGCTACTTTCCCTCTCTCCCTCACTCCTGAATAAGGCTCCACAGCTGAAACTTTGTTTCTTTTCTTTACCTTTCAGCATGGAATAACCTTTACCTGTTTCTTTGTAGCCTAAACATGCTTACGCAGCTCCCAACTCGAACATCCTTAAACACTTAAAGTACACCTTTATACTCGGGTATATTAATAGTATTATAAGGAGGCTCTTCTGTATTTTATTTCAGCATTTGAGTGCTCATGTGCATTGATCTATGGTCCAGTTCGTATTTCTAATATAATGAATCTGTTGAAAGGTCATGATCAGTCAATTCTATACATAATGTTTTACCTCTGTCCTAAGATGAATATGATTTTATGTAAGTTAGACCTTAGGTTACTAACCTAATTAATTTACTTCTTAAAATGAGTATGAGTAATATGAGTAACATGCGTGTGTCTCTCTCAGTTTTAAAGCTACCTGTACACATCTTTTGTAAATACAAACTAAAAATGGATCAACTAATGTTTCATGTCATGGGATCTGCTATTTTTTATTTCATATTATTAAGCAGATGTACCTATCTCACTCTCTACAAGACAAATGTCTTCAGGTATCTCTAGCTGTGATTAGCTATTCAGACAGAATTATGAACTCTGCTATTTATCTTTTTACATAAACTGAGACCCTTGTTTATGCATATCTGAGGAGATCAGTACAACTTTGAATGAACAAAACAGCAAGAAAAAGCTTTTGAATGTTAAAAAAATGTGTGTTTCCTTTCTAGGTCAAATTGGACTTGGGATCTGGAGAACGAATACTTCGCTCAGAGAGAGGGACTCCGCTGAATGATCTGGCATGGCACACAGTTGAATTTCAACACGAAAATCACAATGTTACCCTTTCAGTTGACAAACATTTCCAAACAACCCTAAAAATGCCCGAGTCCCAGCATGATCTTAACATTCAAGATGGGCTTTATGTTGGTGGAACTGGAGGTCTTGACAAATCATACCTCCTCAGTGAACCTGTGGGCTTCAGAGGTTGTATTGATGAGCTTTTGTTCAATCAGCACAATCTTTTGTCTTCACTAAGGTCCTACTCCGGCTTCAAAAATGTGTATGAGGTATCTCTAGGCTGTAGCCCCCAGTTCTTTGCAAGTGAAGATGACCCTATCAGCTTCTTTAGTTCTAAAGCATACATTTCTTTACCCCTTTGGAATGCACAACAGGAAGGAGTGTTGGAGTGCGTACTGCACACATCTGCTGATCAAGGGATTATTCTTTATAACTCTGCACGCCAAGGAGACTTTGTGGCTATGGAAATCCGTGATGGGCTAATAGTGGCAGTTATGGGAAAAAGTGGGACTAAAAGTGAACTTCCCTCCCTCACTTATATTAATGACAGAAAGTGGCATTATATTAAGCTCCAGTTCACCTCAAGGAGCCTTCAGCTCACAGTGGATGAAGAAACTGTAAAAACTAGCATTAGTTCCCGAAATAAAGCTCTTCAGTTAAGGGGTTCCCTTTTTGTCGGGGGCATAGATGACAGCACCCGTGCTGAAGTCAAGAAGGTTGGGCTGGTCTCTGTTTCGGGAAAACGTATAAGAGGAGGGTCTTTCAAAGGATGCTTGAAGGATATCAAGGTTAATTTTGTAAAAATGGGTCTGCCCAATGCTTTAGTAACTAAAGACATTTCTGTAGGTTGTGAACCTGAAAAGGAACCAGAACCAACAACACAAACTACACCAGCTACTCACTGGGCTCAGACTGCCCCGGTGCTTCCAACAACATCCATGTTCACACCAACAAGTGCTAAGCCTCTGGACAAGAAACGCAGCCAAATGTTTTTAGTGCTCAGGAACCTTGTAGTTCCTGAAGGAGGACGAGCACCTCTAGAGTCAAAGCACATAAAAGTGAATCTGGAATTTAAAAAACTAGGAATACGTCAGTCTCAGATTATGTTTAAGATACAAGAACAGCCTGTTCATGGTCAGTTGAGGTTGGATGTTGATGAAGGTCAAGAGGAACATACCTTTAGCATGTTGGATTTGTGGCATGGGAGGGTAATGTACATTCACGGTGGTTCAGAAGACCCAGAAGACTTTTTTACATTCTCTGTCTTCACCAGCAGCAAAAAGGAAGTTCCTCCTTACCTGAAGGGAAATAAGATGTATAGATATAACATAACCATAACCCCTACCAATGATGCACCTGAGTTAAGCCTACCTGAAGGAAACCTCTTTGTGCTGCTAGAAAAGTCAAGAAAGCATTTGACTATTGATGCTTTAAAAGCCACAGATGTAGATAACAATTCTACAGACCTCTTTTTCTCCTTATTGGGCAATCTAAATGCAGATGCTGGATTTTTGGAAAATACAGAGAATCCAGGGAAAAGCATAACTACTTTTTCTCACGTTGACTTGGAAGAAGGAAAAATAAATTATGTTCACAGTGGGGTCCGAAATTCCAGGATTGTTTTGAGAGTCAGTGATGGAGAAAAAGTGAGTAACACAGTTGTTCTGAGAATCATGGCCATACCACTGGAATATAAAGTTGCCAACATTACTGGACTTGATGTTCTGCAGGGTGATGCGGCTTTGATAAGCACAAAGGACCTGGCAATACAAACTAATGCCGTGAAACAGGAACTAGAAATTCGTTACGATGTCACTGAGTCTCCCAAATATGGCGAGCTGCAGAGATTGAATTCCAATGGGGAATGGAAACAAACCAGTTTGTTTTCACAGCGCACTCTTGAAAGGGATCGATTGAGATATCTTAGTACTTTCTATGAAATTCAGTCAAGTAATGTTTCAGATCATTTCAAGTGCAAGGTTAGCATTAGCTCAATGGCCACAGAGGAAGTTGTTTTTCCTATTATGATAAAATGGGTACAGTATAAACTGCTGAAAAATAAAGTAATGGAGGTTGACAAAGCACAAAGAGTAATATTGAATTCAGAACATCTCCACGCTATTCCCAAAGGTGTAAAGTTAACAGAAAATGAACTGTACTTCAGGCTTCTAACATTGCCAAAGAAAGGAAAGTTGCTGTTAAACAATAAGATTTTAAAGAAAAACTCAACTTTTAGCCAAAGGAATATAACTGATTTAAAAGTGCATTATGAACTACAAGACAGACCATATGAAGACACAAGGGACATGTTTACATTCCAGATTTTCTCTAAGCATGCACAATCGGGAATCTATGATTTTAAAATTGCCATCAAAGCTGACATCAACAGTATCATAATAAAAAACAATGGATTGTCTTTAAAGGAAGGCGAAAGTCAATTGCTAACAAAAGAAGAACTGTTCTCAGAAACACTTATCACTAAGTCAATGCACTACAGAATCACAGACCGTCCAAAACATGGAAAGTTAATACGCATTAACCTGTCTAACTCTACCTCAAGCAATGACAACATAATAGCATTCACCAACCAGGATATCCTAGAGGAGCGCATTATGTATGTCCATGATGACAGCGAAACCACCCATGACCAGTTTACATTTGTAGCATCCACCCAGCAGCCCGCAAAGGAATCAGGACCAGTGGCAGAGACGAACATTGTGGAAAGCACATTTAACATCTCAATAAAGTTAATAAATGATGAGAAGCCAGTCCGTATTGTTGATGAAGTCTTTCATGTTGTCAAAAATGGACAGAGACTTTTAACACTGGAGGACTTGTGCTATCATGATGCTGACTCTGACTTTGATGATGGGCAGCTTCTGTATACCCGGCGTGGAATTCCCATGGGCGATCTGGTCCTTGTAAATGACACTTCTCACAAACTTTACCAGTTTCACCAGGAGGATCTGGAGCAAAAGCGTGTGTTATTTGTCCATCATGGACCAAATATTGGTCGCTTTGTGCTGTTTGTGTCTGATGGAAAGCATTATACATCTACTTTGCTGGATGTCAGTGCACAAGAACCTTATATCAAGACAGCGAACAATACAGGCCTGCTGGTACAAAAAGGACAGCAGAAAATGTTCAGTTCTGCCAACTTTAGTGTGGTTACAAACCTGGATGTAAGAGATGATAAAGAGATTATCTATGAAATGTATCTTCCCCCAAAACATGGTGGGCTTTATCAGGATGAGCTGAAGGTGGATGTGTTTACACAGCATGATTTGAAAAAAGGCTATTTAGTCTATCGACATGATGACAGCAAAAATTTGGTAGACTTCTTTAACTTCACTGTAAAGGTACAAAAAATGCGTTTGGATGCAGGAGTTAACATAAAAGTATACTTGGAAAGCCACCAGCTCCCACCAAAGGTCATGCATAATAACACTCTTCTCGTGGAAGAAGGAAAGCCTGTTAAGATCAGTAAACGAAAACTTGAGGTTAGTCTGCAATATTTAACAACAGTGATGGGTTTGGGGATTAAGGTAATAAAATAAGAATGTAAACACTAATAGAAACATTCTTCTAGAGCGTTTTGTTTTATGTCCTATTTACCAAAGTAGCAACTACATCAAAGTATATTGTATTTAAAGTTTCATAATATGTCATTTTTGATAAACCATCATTAAATAAATTATTTAAAATGCAGTAATTTTAAGGTATGTTTATACCAGCTGTAAATCAAGATGTTTTGGTTTCTGAAACCTGATTGAAAAGTGTTAAGCTCTATTTATTTGTCCATTTTAGGTTACGCATGAAGATAACTTGCCATCAGAAATTGTTTATACTGTAAAAGTTCCTCCTTCTCATGGCTACATCCGCAGCTTTGCTGAGGGAGAAGAACATTACCTGGGAAGTGAAAACAATCCAATCTGGAGCTTCTCTCAACAGGACATCAATGATGGGAACATTCAGTATGTGCAGGTGGAGGCAGACCAGCTTACAGACTGCATAGTGTTGGATGTCTCAAATGGCATCACAGAAGTCAATGGAATCATGATCTTGATTGAAATTATTCCTCGCATGATCCCTCTTGAAATATATAACATCACTTTAAAGGAAGGAGCTTCCAAAGCTCTGACAGAGGATGTTATTAAAGTTAACAACAAACACTTTGCTGCCCTGAGTTTTCAGTATTTTATCTGGGACCCTCCAAAACATGGCCATATAGAGCATTCTCGATACCCTGGTGTCCACCTCAGCTCTTTTACTAGAACACAGGTAAAATATGTATTTCTCCCTTTGCTAGATTTATATCTTTGCTTTATTTTAATCTATATGTGCAGAATAATATTTCTGTTCTTTAAATTTGTGAATTAAAGGGCAGTTATCATGTTTTCTAAAAATATGCTTCTAAAAGCACCTTTGTGTTGCCAGAAGTAGGCAGCTGTAAATGTTTCTTGTATTTTTGTTTCTTTTATATTAGCAGCTTTGAACACTTACAATTTAGTGGATTTAGTTACAATGTAGTAGAAGATGAAAAGGGGTAGGCAGACTTTCTAGAGCCTTACTAAAGAAGAAGGTTTTGAGTCTGGATTTAAAGGTGTTGAGGGAAGGTGACTCTCTGATATTCTTGGGCATAGAATTCCAGAGTTTTGGGGCATAGCAAGAGAAGGCCCTATTGCCCAATTACCCATAGATTATAGACGAATTTGGAGGACAGAGAGGAGACCATAGTATGATGAACAAAGGCTACAAGGTGGGGAGTAGGAAGATATTAAAGTCACACAGGTACTGAGTTGCAGAGTCATGTAGAGCCTCATAGGTGAGCATAAGTATTTTGAAGTCAACACAAAACCTCATAAGAATCCAGTGCAAGGACTCCAGGACAGGAGTAATGTGATTACTTGCACATGACCTGGTCAGACTTCTCATTGCCAAATTCTGTGCATACTGATTTTTTTTCAGAGCGGATTTAGATACGAGTTCGAGTTCTCAGTTCTCAAGACCAATGTGTGTATCAGCTTTTCATGACAGTCAGAGACATAGTCTGGCAATATTTCTGAGATGGAAGATTGGTGTTTTTACAATGTTTTGCACGTGGGTCAAATGTTAAATCTAGATCAAATATCACCCCAAGCTCTTCAATTTAGATTCAACGACTGTGCTATCAACAGATAGGGTTACTGCATTAGCTTTTACATAGTTGATGGGAGTCATAGTTTAAATGAAGCAACTTCGGAGTCACCCAACAAACCCAACTTCGGAACTGAAACCTCCAAGACAGACAAAGTATTATTAAAATATTTGCAAGGATGCAAAAGGAGGACTGAATTCAGACACAGACTTATTTCCAGTAAAGTGATAGCAAAAAAATACAAAAGTGCAGAATTTGGCCTGAGTGCAGAACATTGAGTAATTACTACTGTTACATAATCAATCAGGTATTACTGTTTCACATGCTTTATATTTTAATTCCATTTGCCTTTTAATACAGGTGGATTTGAGTACAAAAAAACTATCAAAATGGCAACACTTTAATACCACATCTTGAGGAAGACCAATGCATTCTAAAACTTGTTGATCTAATAAATAAAGCTAAGTTCAGTTTTCCTGTTATCTCTAATCATTTATGTTTGAATGATTTATATTTTTCTTTACCGTAGGTTGAACAAGAGTTCGTATATTATGTTCATGATGACAGTGAGACCGTGTCTGATAATTTTACTATCATTGCCAATGACACTGAACTTAGAAAGAAGAGTCTTCCATGGACAGTGTTTGTAAACATTACACCAGTGAATGATGAGCCTCCTGTTGTAACAGCCAACAGAATCTTCAGGGTAAGTCTGCTGTGTTTACACCCAATTATAATACTTAGCAGATTTTGAATATTAATTTCCTCCACTGCAAGTACCGCACTGTATATTAGGAACACTATTATAAATGGCAAAGTTTAGAACTTCCATAAAGGAGTATGCAGCCCAGATTTTCTTTTAATTTTTCATCAAATAAACCATTTAATTGTGGTATACTATCCAAGTACATAAAATCTACTAATGTATGTTACACATCCATTTTGGTATACCCTTGAATATTTTAAAAACTTGAAAGTACATAAAAAACGTTAAATTACCTCAAAGAAAATCCAAAACGTTTGATTGAGCGTCTGTAGATTGAGCGTCTGTAGCTGGTATACCTGAGGGAGGCTTAGAAAGAAAAATCTAATGTGTTTAAGATGGTTTTAAAATGTTCAAGCGAACAGCAGCTGCCGCACCTTTCCTGTGTATTCAGAAATGGAAGGTTTCTTCACTGCCTAGTTTGGGGCTTATTTAGAGACGGCATCAGCTGCTTCCTTGGTTTCACACTTACTGTACATTGCCAGAAAATGTGTGTGAATCCTGTAGGTTGGCCTGTATTCTTGTGTGTTTTTGAGATTTTAGAGATCTGAATCAAAGCCTTAATAAAAAATGCATTTAATCAGGTTTAAACACAAAGGCGTAAGATGAGGGTTTCCTCACGTGAGCAGCACACTTCAGGTCTGGCCACAACATTTCAAAAGGAGTTATGTCAGGACTTTGACTTGGCCAGTCCAGAATGCGACAAATCCTTTTCAGCCATTCTATTGCGGATCTGCTTGTATATATTGGATCACTATCTTGCTGCATGATGTTCTTTCAACTCAGCTTCAGCTGATGAATGGAGGACTGAAATTCTACCTTTAAATTTGCTTGTCCAACTATTTTAAAATTGAAAAATTTTGCAATTTTTACAGTTTGTTTGGAGCTTGAGCTGGCCTAAAATTCACTTAACATAATGGAGAATGTCAGGATAAAATATCAAGGACAACTTATGAGCTGCGCATGTGTATCTGAATTTTAAACAGAGCTGTGGTGATAAGTTTTTAGACTTCCATTTGAATTTTCTTCTTTTTCTATGCAATGAAAGTATTAATCATAAATTTTATATTGGTATCAAAACAGTTTGTTAATCCCTGCAAACATAATATTCCTTCAAATTACACCTTTCTCTTGGCCGCAAATAATGCCAGATTTAGGAATTCTATGAAAACATCTCACTATGGTTTCTCTTCTGAAGTGATTATCTGTTTCTGAACAGTGAAAGCTCTGTCATTTGCAGTAAACATAATAAAAAATAAAGTTCAAAGATTAAATGCCTATGATTCTGACTTAAGTCCTTAATCAAACGTGAATAAATTTCATCCTCAGGTATCTCAGGTTCCATTTTCTTAATGTAAGTAAAGGGTAGGTTGACAGAACCTGATTAGTTATAACTCTAATAATACTAGTCTTAGTAGTAGCTAGTATTTGCTTGTCTTAATTAACATTTTGTGACCCAGGATTAGTGACAATTGTGTAACTTAATGATGTTCTATAAAGCTGTTGATATAAAATGCCTGGTTTTATCCACAAGGTGGCAATATGTTCTGATTCATCCTGGCCGGAAGTAAAGTGTTTCTCCGCTCCCGACTCTGAAGGCTAAGCTTTTCTGTCTTTCTATATTTGCTTTAAGAGACTGAATGAATTTTCACTCAACAGACCTAAATTAACACTTTTTCAAGGTTCAAAGCAGGTAATTATTTAAAAGACTGTAAAAAAGCTTTGCTGAACTTTCTCTCAAAGACCACATTTGATGATTATTAATTTAAGGAATGAAAAGCATTACGTTACTTTTGGCTAGAATCATGATATTATTATAAATATATGTTTATAATATTAATGGCATTAATGGTTAAGATTCTTTAATATGGAGAGTCTCTTAAGTTTATAATTGATGTATTTCAAGAACAGAAATGGGAAAATCAAAAAGGTAATTATCTTAAGAAATTATTCTCATTCTAACTTAAAACTTATTCAAAATAAGACAGGTTCCAGTGGTTGACTTACAGTACAGGACTGCGGGTCATAATAATGTATCAAACAGCTATGCAGCAAGAGCAGGAGTGTTTCCTTATATATCCAAATATTGGAGATATTGAAATTTTTTTGCTGTGTACATATTTAATATGTTTTTCAGGTCAAAGGATTTGTGTGAGGCAAAATTATAGAATTTTAGCTTTTGTTTCTGGATATTATATTTCATACATGTTTAGCCCCGTTAGAGCAATGTCATTTATTGTATTCAGTCTTCCCATTTAAGGTGAGCATAAGCATTTGTACAAATGGCTAATTGTTTAGCTGTTCCACCTAAAGGAGTTGTGAATATATAACCTTCATTCTTGCCTCTAGAGCTTACTTTTTGGATCTGTCTCTTTGTGGGCATCACAAATTCAACAACATGGAATGTCTTGAAAAAGAAACTCGTGGAAAAGTAAGCAATCATTTTAGACTAGGTCATCCAAGGAAGACAGCAGTTGATGACAGAAAAATACAGCTGTCAAGAAACACCCCAATATCACATCCAAAGAGATTGCAGACAATCTCTAGTGTTCAGGGGTGAAGTTATCTCAGTTCACTGTGCTCAAGTGGGACATTCCAAGGTCTAAAGCAAGCTCCTCATCAGCTCTAAATAGAAACCAGGTCAGAATTTGCAAAGAAGAACAAACATTTATGTAAAAAAGTTTTATGGGCAGACCAGACAAAGATAAACCTTTGTCAAAGTGATGTAAGGTCAGAAGTGTGGAGAAAGAGAGGAATTGCAAATGATCCTAAGCTCATCTGTAAAGCATGGAGTCATAGCTAGGGCACTGCCTCTGGAACTGACTCACTGATCTATATTGATGATGTGACTGATAATGGCAAGACAGTGCCTTAAAATACTACACAATTCTTAAAAGAGTTCACCAGGAAGAAGAAGTGGGAATTTTTGAATTGGCCAAGTCAATCTTCTGCTTTGAATGCCACTGAGCATGCATTTTAACTGTTAGAGGAGACTAAAGTCAGAAAACCCTACAAAAAAAAAACAACAGAACATGGCTACAGTTAGGCCTTAGCAAGGCATTGTGCATACTTTATAGTTAGTTTACTTTTAATTCATTTTTTCCAATATGCCTTTTTTGTTCTTGTATTGTTAAACATACAGTTGTGAAAACATTTGTGAACCGTTTTTTAATTATCTAGATTTCTGCATGAATGGCTCCTAAAATGTGATCTGATCTTCATCTAAGTCATAATAATAAATAAAGGAAGTCTTATTTAAAAAACAGCAAACACTATTTTACATTGTCATATCTTTATTGAACAAATGGTTTAAACAATAAAGATACAGCAATGTAAAATGAAAAGCTGAAATAAAAAAGTGTACTTCATAAATATGCTTTTCACTGCAAACACTATCTAGATGGCTGAGAAACATCTTCAAAATTTCTATTGTATTATTAAGCTGTAAACTTTGATCAAGTTTTAAAAAAAAATATCATTTTTATAAAGTCTTACAAAATCACTGAAGCCTTGGTGCACAGTGAGTCACTGGTCACACAGGATGTTGTGGTTTCCTGAAAGAACTCTTCAATACAAAAGAAGGCTTTTTTCATGGTTTGCAATGGCTATGTTCAGAATTTCAAACTTTATGTAGTTTCCCATCTTTGTTAGTTTATCTACGTACACTTAAGTTCATAATTGTTGTTTTTCCTGTTATGAATGTTTCCTGTAACTCCCAGTATCTTAATAGATAAGTGTACCATATTCCACTGCAACAGCAACAGCAGCTTCATAAAAAAGCTTCTCAAAACTGTGTAATAGGAAATGTACAGCACGTCAATAGCATTACACAGTGCAACACTTATATAATTTACAATAAATAGAGGGGAGAAAGTACCAAACCACAGGAATGGGCATCGTCTTTATGACTCACCATACAATTTTTTCAGCTCTTTGGCAAGTAATTAGATTATGTGAATGGGAGCAATATCAAAACCCTATTTGTTTGAGTATATATACCTAGGTTCCTATCTTGTACAGTTGATATCCTGGGCATAGAGCAAATATTCTCTTGATAACTGGCCTAAGGTATTTAAATTGGTCTGCAAGTCCAGGGTATGTTTAGCTTCAATTTTAGCAGGGGATAAACTCTCCTCCCAACTTCCTGTTATTAGATTCACTACCACTAGTCAGCTGCCCCCAAGCAGCAGTTCAAAAAGAAAAAAATGTGGTGGCATTGGGAATCTCACACAAAGAATGAAGCAAAAGCAGACAGGATTTTGTCCCTGGTAATGTGATGATGAATTTGTCTCTTCTCATATTTCATCATAGTCTTCCTTACAGCCCTAACAGCTAAACTTTAACATAAAACATTGTTTTCATCTTCTACATCATAGATCTAAATTTTCTTTTTTTGTAGCTACAGACAGTTTTCTAGCTCCTCCCTCTCTTACTGAAAAAAGAGGCAGTTTTATAAAGCCAGCACACCTCGTGGGGATTGGATCAGGCCCAGGTGTGCTGGATTTGAATGATTTCATTCAGCCCCTGCTCCTCTCTTCTTCCCTGTGGTCTGGAACCTGCAACCTGAATGTATTATCATAGGCTGATTACTTTAAGTGATAGTATCTGCTTTTCAACCATCGAAGTCCTTTGGCTGCCAGAGTTTTTTCTTCATTTATGCTTTGGGGATTTCTGGGGAGAAATCCAAAGGACTTTGAAAGTTTACAACACTGATTGAAAAATGGTCCTATTTATTCCACAGATGAACAAGAGGAATGTATAAATGAATTAAAAAGGCTGTATAAATGTAGCTATAATGTACACTGGTGTGAAAAAGTGTTTGCCCCCTTCCTGATTTCTTATTTTTTTACATGTTTGTCACACTGAAATGTTTCAGATCATCAAACAAATTGAAATATTAGACAATGATAACACAAGTAAACACAAAATGCAGTTTTTAAATGAAGGTTTTTATTATTAAGGGAAAAAAAATCCAAACCTACATGG